CCAGCCAGCCAGCCAGCTATCATTCATCCAGCCATCATCCAGCCATCATCCAGCCATCATCCAGCCATCATCCATCCATCCACCAATTCAGCCAGCCATCCAGCCATCATCCATCCATCCATCCATCCATCCATCCATCCATCCATCCATCCATCCATCCATCCATCCATCCATCCATCCCTCCCTCCCTCCCTCCCTCCCTCCCTCCCTGGGACACAGAGACAAAAGAGACAAACAACCATTCACTCTCTCACACCTAGGAACAGTTTAGAGTTACCAATCAGTCTAACATGCACGTTTTTGGTCTGTGGGAGGAAACTGGAGTACCTGGAGAAAACCCACTCATGCACAGAAAGAACATGCAAACTTCACCCAGAAAGGTCTCGGACTGGGATTTGACCCAGCAACCTTCTTGCTGAGAGGCAGCTCTACCAACTGCACCACTCTGCTTCCACAATACTCTTCAGTTTTGCCAAAATAAACCTGACGGCTCGTTGCAATTGGGAAAACTCAGTCGGGTCTAATTTGTTGCACATTTCAAACATTGGTCAAAACTTGTCTTTAACAAGCGCAGGCTGCAACTCGGAGGTTGTTCTTACTTCAGAAGATTGTAGAGATTGTAGGAGGAATGGGAAAGCAGCAGAGTTAACCCTGCATTTGACAAATGGTCAGCATGACTGTGCATGTTAAACATTTTGAAAATGGCCCTGCTGCATTCTGTACTGAATCTCATCTTGATGCTGTGAAGGAAAGCTTAGATCAGTGTGATGACTAGAAAGCTATCTTAACCCTTAACATCAGGGGATCTTTTCAAAGGAGGAGGGGTCTGGCATCACTGTTTGCAAAATGCTTCTTTTTTATTTTTAAAGTCTGTTTATTTGCTCACTTTGCAGATTTGGCATTGATAAATGAGAATGCTAGTTATAATTCTCACGATTGTCTTCAGCACTGTTTCTTTTGGTTGTTTGCCATTTCTTTGTTTTTACCAGGCACATAAACTGTATTGGTCAAATGAGAATCCCTTATAAAATAAAAAGTGGCATTTTGATGACTTTTCTTTGGTCGTAAATATCTGAATTTACTCTGCCGGGAAAAGGAGACGTCATGAATGTGAGCGTTTTTCTTTGTGTCTTTACAGTGAGAGCTACCTGGTGAAATGGTCAAGCTCGGGTTTGGTGAAAGACATCGACCAGCTTCATAATCTGCGGGCGGTTTTTACGGTGGGTTTGTTTCGAAGTGTGGGTGTTTCTGATTATGTGTGTGTGTGTGTGTGTGCTCCTCTGTAGATGACTGTTTATTCAGCCATGTTATGAGGCATTTGGGAGCCTGTTTGCAGAGGGCCTGTGTTTGTTGAGCTCTCACAGTAAGATCCTGGCATGCTGTATGCGTTTACCAAGGCTGTGTAATGGGGGCCCAAGAGTCAGCAGGGTCACCGTAGATGCACAGTAAATGAGCCAAATTGTAGCTGCAAACACTGATAAAATGTTTACCCTTACATAAAACTATAAACACTTTGGAAAGGTCTCTTAATGGATATGATGTTTTGAGCACGGAAGGACAAATTTTCCAGGGATTTTCTTCAATCTGTAGGAACTTTACAGCAACACGTGTTCTGATTTATTACCATTTGTCTTCAGGACTTGGGCAGTGAAGATTTGAAGAGAGAGAAGATCAGTTTTGTGTGTCAGATCGTCAGAGTCGGGCGAATGGAGCTGCGAGACAACAACATCAAGAAGCCGACTTTGGGTCTGAGAAGACCGTTTGGAGTTGCAGGTAAATCTGAAACCGACTCACTATTTTGATGATGACAGGTAAAAATACATTAGAAGATACTTTATCTTAGAAGCCACCCCAGACTCAGCTTTAATATCACAATAAGATTATTGAAAATGTGCACTTTTCTTAACTAAAAGCAAGTGTAGAGGTGTTTTACCATGTTTTTCGGATTACAAGGCACATGAAGTGAAACAAAACCGTCAGATAAGTCAAACTTTATTCAACTCATTCACAATAACCACATAAAATCAGTTCAAGGTCAGTAAGCACAACCAGAATTCATACATAAGGTGCACTGGGATTATAAGGCTCACTGTTGATTTTGAGAAATTTAAAGGATTTTAAGTGCACCTTATAGTCTGAAAAATACGGCACTCGTGACTGCTTGTACGTTCACACCCTCACCTCACTCCTCCTTAACCCCACATGGCAAAACATTCATTATTTTACCAAGAATAACCCAATATGATGCAAAATCTCTTTGACAAGACAGTCCTGGTCGATACAGCAGTGTAATGGTTCCACAGTAACACTCAACAAAATAAAACAGACACAAAACAAACCAGTTAAAAACAAAAAAAGCAGTATAATCACCTGCAGATGTGCATTTAGTACTCAAATAGTCCTTAATTCTAATGTTTAAATAATCCATAGTGAGCAGGTGGTTTAATTTAAGATATCTTTGTAAGTCAAGTCAGATTTATTTATAGAGCACATTTAAAACAGAAACCGTTTCCAAAGTGCTTAACAAAAATATCACATCATCAAATAAAAAGTAACAAGATATATTTACAGCGCATGGAATAAAAATATAAAACAGAAAACATAATTAGAAACAATGAAATACTAAATCAGATCTGATGACCTTGTGTTAAATAGGAATAATAACAAAAGCATAAACAGAATCAATAAAATTCTAAATCTAAATCCGATCACCCTGTGTTAAATGTCAATGAGTACAGGTGTGTTTTTAGGAGAGTTTTACCTGTCGAATGTTGGACAGATTGTTCCAGAGCTTAGGGCCCATGACTGAAAATGCTCGATCTCCTCTGAGCTTCAGCCTGGTTTTTGGTACGGCAAAAGCAGCTGGTCTGATGATCAACTGGACAAGCGTGTAAATACTTTAAAGGCACTTTTGCCAAAGAGCGTCCATGTTCGAGGAATGACGTTTACATCTCCTGGTGACTTTATTATTCAAAGAGAAGGAAAATTGGAAGGCAAAACACATAATACGATCAAATCGTCATAAATAAAAGGCAGTTCGTCTCAACTGAGATACTTGCTGCTTACTAAAATATTTGTGAACTAGATTTAAACACTTCCCACACTCTTGCAATATTCTAAACAATGTTTCTAAACTCTAAACGCTCTGAAAGAGCACAGCATGTCATGATTTCAGCTCCTTGAGTCATCTGCTTTTTGCCACCTGCAAGCGTGCTTTTGGCCACGCCCACTTCTCCGCGGTGAACAGCTGATCAGCTGCAGCAGGAAGTTTATCCAGCAGTGTGGGCTGCACAAATGTGCAGCAAGTGCTAAAAAATTTATTTTAAATATAAATTCCATGCCGATTGTGCGGCTCATCCTTCAGTCAGCCAACTGTGTGTCATGTCCAAGCTTATTTTGAAAAACCGCGATAGAGCGAGTCTGCGATAAACAAACCGCGAAGTAGCGAGGGACTACTGTATATATATATATATATATATATATATATATATATATATATATATAT